GCGAAAGGATTCTGTGATCCCCGTTCATACCGTTCACATCATCACCTGATGAACTCAGTGTATTACCAGGGCAGACTAGGGGCTGGCTCCCCTCTCTCTGACTGTCCACTGTGCAGGCTCCACTTTTACCAGCCATTCTTTTCCTCACACTGCCCTTGCTCAGGCTAAACAGTTCTTTGGAGGACACGGGAGGCATAAATATTCTAGACTTTGACCTCCTGTGTCCAGCGGAGGAGTGACTGTCGCTAGTTCTTTCTAACACAATATTCATAAAGTGTGGTTCCTGGTCCTGGGTTATCCGCAGCATCACCTGAGAACTTGCTAGAAATGCACATGATCAGGCCTCACCTATCCAGTGAAGGAGTGACTGTCGCTAGTTCTCTCTAACATAAAATTCGTAAAGTGTGGTTCCCGGTCCTGGGTTATCAGCAGCATCACCTGAGAACTTGCTAGAAATGCACATGATCAGGCCTCACCTCTGACCTACTAAGGGAGGACTTCCGGTACTGGGACCCGGCAGTCTGTGTGCATCCAGGTAAATCTGATGTGTTCACGTTTGAGGAGCCTGGCTTGAGCAAAAGCAGAAACTGCCACTGTGCCCTCCTCAGAAGTGTCCCCAGAGACGGCTTTGAAAAGGCTGAAGGCTCCCTGGAGAGTGGGGTGCTCACTGGCAGGCCCCTGGACATAGTTTCCATGGTTACTTTCCATTCAACTCAGTGATTTCCAAACTGATTTGACCATAAATTCTTTATTCCTGTCCAATGCTCTTGGTCCTGGCTCCTCAGCATCTCCTTCCTTTTCTCAGTTCAAAACCTCAGTCCTTGAAGCTCAACACATCTGAGCTCCAACTTCGCTGCACTTGTTCGCCCGTAGGCGGACTTCTGGCTCAGTGTGCCCCTGGGTCCCGGCTGACGTCTCAGAGAGGGGTCACCATGGCGCGTGGCAGGTCCCAGGGTGAGGTTGCAAGGTTACGAGTTGTGGAAAGACTGTGGACTTTGGCCTCAGTTTTTCCATCAATAAAATGGGGAAATAAATAATAATAGACAAGTTACCATGCAGTAGTGATACAAGTGTTAAATAAATAGCATATGTGAAGAATCTTTGTAAATTGTATCATGCTACAACATGTTCATAATTATTGTGCAAAAAAATTAAGCTGCATTTCCAGCTGCCCCTCTGCCTGGCATATAGTAGGTGATCAGGAACTGTCAGTTTCCTTTCTGACAGCACAGCCCCAAAGCACTAGGGCAAAAGTCCCAAGGCCGCTTGTTCCAGCTGACAGATAAAGATGATTGTAAGTAGCCCAGGCACCGTTTTATGTTCCAGCTTCCTCCATATTGATTTGTTTATCAAAATTTTTATTTATAAGGAGCACAAAAATAAACTAGCCCAGATTCGGCAGGGTGTACCACAGGTTCAGAATTAATGAGATCCAAATTTATGAGGGTTCTGATTTATTACTTCCTTTCCTTACTCTTCTGTTGTCAGGAGATGGGATGGAGAGAAAGTGATTGCGTTCCAGGACAAGGGTTCCTCTGTCCCTGGGACTTGCAGCACACCCCTCCCCACAGCCCTTCCCTTCCTCCTTCATTCCCTGGTGATGATGAGTTTCTCTCAGTACTACAGTCTGGTTTCTGGGGCTGTGATATGGCTTGGGATCCTGGCACAAGCCTCTTAGTTCAGCTCCAATAATTCTTCTCTTCTATAAAATTCTGGGCTGCAGCCCCAGTATTTTATAGCAAGAGAGTTCCTCGTGGAAAGCTGTGTGCCCTGAGGAATGAGACACTTATTCAGAGTGGAGGGGCTGAGGGAAACAGCGGTACCGTTTTCTTATGCTCCTGACGCGCTGGGACAGTGGTTGGCAGAGTTGGTCCCTGGGCCCAGTAGCCCAGCATCCCCAGGCAACTTGGCAGCAATGCAGAATCTTGCGCCCCATCCCAGATGTACTAACCAGAAACTCCGGCAGGGCACCGGTAGTCTGTTTGAACATGCCCTCCTGGTTTTTCTGATCCACACTCAGGTTTGAGAATGGCTGATGTGGGAGAAGGAAGGGCGAGGGAGTATTAGGGAGCTGGGACCTTACATAGTGGGTGGTCTGGCACCCACAAGGGTCCTAGCAGATGGTCCTTGAGCCCTTGGGAGTAAACTCATTTAGGCTGTGTCTCCATGGCTCTAGGGCAGCGTTCTCCTTCCCCGTGGCACATGACAGCCACCTAGAGAGCTCCCCAGAAATGCGCTGCCCCAAGCCCAGGCCCCGCCAAATGAATCGGAACCCCAGAGGAGTGTCTAGACAGCTGTGTTTGTAAAAACTTCCAGATGATTCCAACCTGCACCCAAGTTTGAGATCTGCTAATGCACAAGGTGCTCTGCTAAGAAAAAGTATGGTCTTGGTTGCCTTTACACTAGTCACACATCTTTCTATTAGAAATTCATTTTACCTATTTAAATGATGAAAGTTACATACTCGTTATAGAAAAAAAAAACTTGGGAAATATAGAAACATTGAAAGGAGAGAAGTTGTGTTCCAACTACCTGAAGACAGTTGTCAGTACCGGGTGTATTTTGTTTCAGTCTTTTTCTTTTCAATGCACTGGTGGGAATTTTCTACAGCTTTGTGATTATCCTACATAATAAAAGCCTAATATGCAAATTGTCCCCTCAACTGTACTAACCAGAAACTCCGGCAGGGCACCGGTAGTCTGTTTGAACATGCCCTCCTGGTTTTTCTGATCCACACTCAGGTTTGAGAACGGCTGATGTGGGGGAAGGAAGGGCGAGGGAGCATTAGGGAGCTGGGACCTTACATAGTGGGTGGTTCTGGCACCCACAAGGGTCCCAGCAGATGGTCCTTGAGCCCTTGGGAGTAAACTCATTTAGGCTGTGTCTCCATGGCTCTAGGGCAGCGTTCTCCTTCCCCGTGGCACATGACAGCCACCTAGAGAGCTCCCCAGAAATGCGCTGCCCCAAGCCCAGGCCCCGCCAAATGAATCGGAACCCCAGAGGAGTGTCTAGACAGCTGTGTTTGTAAAAACTTCCAGATGATTCCAACCTGCACCCAAGTTTGAGATCTGCTAATGCACAAGGTGCTCTGCTAAGAAAAAGTATGGTCTTGGTTGCCTTTACACTAGTCACACATCTTTCTATTAGAAATTCATTTTACCTATTTAAATGATGAAAGTTACATACTCGTTATAGAAAAAAAAAACTTGGGAAATATAGAAACATTGAAAGGAGAGAAGTTGTGTTCCAACTACCTGAAGACAGTTGTCAGTACCGGGTGTATTTTGTTTCAGTCTTTTTCTTTTCAATGCACTGGTGGGAATTTTCTACAGCTTTGTGATTATCCTACATAATAAAAGCCTAATATGCAAATTGTCCCCTCAACTGGGAGTTTGACCGGGAGTTCGACCAAGGGATGGGGCCGGCTGGCCAACTGTGGGAAGCGAGGCCCCAGCCGGCGGTGGCAGGCAGCCAGGGGAAGGGAGGCCCTGGCCGGCAGCCAGCAGCCAGCAGCCAGCAGCTGCTAGGAACCTTACCCATGCACAAATTTCGTGCACTGGGCCTCTAGTATTTAATATAGGGTATCCTGTCTTTTTTCACATTTCAAGCGTATTGCAAATGTCAGAGCAGAACATTAACTCTCCTGCTCTTTTAATTTCTTCTTCCAGAATCCTAGCCTGTGCAAATTGTCCCCTCAACTGGGAGTTTGACCGGGAGTTCGACCAAGGGATGGGGCCGGCTGGCCAACTGTGGGAAGGGAGGCCCCAGCCGGCAGCGGCAGGCAGCCAGGGGAAGGGAGGCTCTGGCCGGCAGCCAGCAGCCAGCAGCCAGCAGCTGCTAGGAACCTTACCCATGCACAAATTTCGTACACTGGGCCTCTAGTATTTAATATAGGGTATCCTGTCTTTTTTCACATTTTAAGCGTATTGCAAATGTCAGAGCAGAACATTAACTCTCCTGCTCTTTTAATTTCTTCTTCCAGAATCCTAGCCTGCCTCAGTCTTTCCTCACACCACCCAGGTAGACGGATGCACTAGGCTGTGAGGGATAGATCTTGTTGCAGAAATTCAGGACAGGCCAGCACAGAACTCTTTCTCCAATGTTTCAGGACCCATTCTACTCGCCAGCTTCAGTGATGCTGGGCTTCTCCGAAGCCCCAGGCTGTGTGGTTCCATAGGATGTGCTGTGACTCGTAAACATACACATACACAGAGCCATCCCGATCAGACCCCTGCCTCCATGCTTTGGGAAGAAAGAAAACAAACGAATAAGGCAAGAAAGAGAAGGAAGGAAGCTGAGGCAAAAGAGAGGATGGTAGGACAAATAGACCGATGTCTGGTGTGCTCAGGCAGAAATGCCGAAACCAAGCCACGTGTCTCTCCACACACTCTGCTTTCAACTCTCAGTGTGACCTTCCCAGAACGTCTTTCTTTATTGCAATATATATGTATATACATATACATATATATATATATGTGTATATATATA